GCACCTCTGAAGCCAAACCCTGCACACATCTGGAATTTAGCAGAAGCTGGCCCTTCACAACACAAATGGGATCTCCCTGGATTGCAAGAATCCAGGCTCTCCCTAGCAGTCTCTTCCAGAGAGTGGCTAGCCAGCCAGGGGGCTCCGGCAAACCACCCAAGCGGCAGAGGTTGCACCAAAGCGATGGGACTAAAAACCAAAATGAAACCAAGCCACCCACTCGCTCCTCCACCACCGACACACCTCCTGTTTCCTCTGCTTTCCGTTTCCCTCCACAAAGGCATCAAATGCATCAAAGTGGAAGTGGGGGGGGGGCAACACAATGTTTGTGAATTCCCCAAATACAAGGCAAAAGGGCTCACGCTGGCCCCAGCCTCCTGCCCATCTGTTAGAAGGTCCTGAGCCCCAGGATTATATGAGAGAGAGAAAGAGAGAGATCTGATGGCTTCCTCAGGTTCTGCATTTGCACCTGTCACATCCCCTCGGCTGCTTAGCCCCCAGTTTTTTAAGTGGCCTTTTGTTTGAAAAGTTCTTCCTCAGGTTCTGCATAGCTGCATTTGCACCTGTCACATGCCCTCGGCTGCTTAGCCCCGAGTTTTTTTAAGTGGCCTTTTGTTTGAAAAGTTGCCAAACATTTATTCCAAAATGCGGAGTTCACATTTGACAAACGCCTTCCAGAATGTTAACCTTTTCGTTTTGATCCAAGACAAGAGTGAGGCACTCCTCCTCAGGTTTAAACTCCCATTAACTGTAATTGCAATAAAATCCCAAGCAAATTTCAAATTCTTCACCTCAAGCTCAAGCCTCCTAGTGCCACGGCTTCCCCTTAAGTGTAGGCATGCTCATGCATGCATGCATGTATGCATGCATGCCTGCACCCCCCAATTCCTCATTTCCTCCCCTCCCTTTTGGAGTCCCATCGGCACCCACGTCCGTCCGCCCCGCCCCACCGCCGCTTCTCACCTGGTCGTGCGAGTAAGGCACCCCCAAGTAGTGGTCAAACCCTTGCCGCGTGGGCAGGAACGTCCCATTGGGTCCCAATCCCAGGTGCCACTTGCCCACCATGGCGGTGGCATAGCCCCGGCCCTTCAGCAATTCCGCTACTGTCACCTCGGCCAAAGGAAGGCCTCCCCGGGAGCCAGGGTAGAACACGCCGGGGTAAATGCCGGAGCGTGTCTGGTAACGTCCTGTCAAGAGGGCTGCCCTGCAGGCAGGAGGAAAAAAAAACACCAGAGCTGAACAGACCAAAGCCAACCAGCCCACCATCTTCCCCTCCTTCCCGTAAAGCAGGCCGGCCGGCTGGTTAGCCACATACCCACTGGCCAATTTTAAGGCAGTGGTGCACCACCTGTGGCCCACATGTGCTGCTGGCTGTGGCCTGATTCTGTGCTCCCTCAGGTGCCCAGGGACCAACCCTTCCCCTTGGTTTTTTTTTCCCCAGGTGAAACAGGAGAATCGCACTCCTAGAAGTCTCCAGGAAGCCCCCGCTTTTTAAAAAGGGCCCCCTTTCTTTGCCTTGTTTTTACCCAAGAAGATGGGGGGGGATTCAAAACAGAAGTGGATTTCCACCCAGGCACCTCCTTCGGTCCCAACCCGCCCTATCCAGGAACACCTTGCTTAGATTCAATCCCACGGGGCAGATGGAGCGCCTTGGAGGAAGATACGGGAAGGGCCGTACCGGGAAGGGCTGCAGACGGGGCTACTGCTGTAGAAGTCAGTAAACCGCAGGCCACCGGCGGCCATCTTGTCCAGGTTTGGCGTGGCAGAGGAGGGGTGGCCGTAGCTTCCCAGATCTCCAAAGCCCAGATCGTCAGCAAAGATAAGGACCACGTTGGGGGGTGGGCTGGCGAAACTCAGCAGGGCGAGCAGGATCTCCAGACCAAGAACACGAAGCTTCACAGGAGACATGGTGGTGGCTCTTCCTGGGACTCTTCTCTGTGGTCAGAGGCGTAGCACCACCCGTGGCCTTTCGGGTGCAGAGGGGTGACTGGAGAGGAGAGCTGGTCCCCGCGGGAGGGAGGTTCTTCGGCTCACAGCCTGTCCAAGCAAGAGGAACACCTCGTCCCCCTGACTGTGGATGTGGGGTGCAGCCAAAGGGATGCCTCAACCCACAGCAAGCCAAGCTTCCGTTCCCCTTCCTGTTCGAGGCTAGCAGGACCACTGAGCCGGAAGGGAAATCCCCCACCTCAATGCAGAGTCTTCCAGCGTTCAAGCCAGGGCGTCCAAACATCTGGGAGCTTCCGGTGGAGGGCACATGCTCTGGAAAAGGCCGGCCTGCAGAGGGAACCGACAGCTCAGGGTCAGGAAGAATCCAAAGAGCTAAAGCCTTCCGGACTGACCATCAAGGTTTCCTTTGAAAAGTGTCAGGAGCAGGAAATGAGTCACAGACAGGAGGAAACTGCCAGGAGACAAAAGGGGTTGGAGGAAGATAAAGAGAGAAGCTGGGTGGATGGCAGAAACCGGCACCCGGCACGGACGACCCAGGGCAGGGACCCACTGCAGAAACGAGTGCTTTTAGGGACCGAGTCTGAGGAACGGAGAGGCAACAGAGGGATGGGGGTCCAGATCTGGGGCTAGGCAACCCGTGGTATGTGGCTTGGCAACATCGTGCTCCACTGATTCAACACCCCACCAAAAAAATGTGATTCTCTGTGTGTGAAAGAGAGAAAGAGACAGAGAGAGAACCCAAAAGGATCTTCTATTAACTTCTGGGGATAACAGAGGCATTTTCCCCATGTTCCCCTAGAACTTTTAGGGATACTTTGGGGGACTAAAATTACTCTGAGATACTGCAGTTCCCAGAATGATCTTAGTGCGACTGTTCCAATATATATATTTTAAAAAAGCCATTCAGGGCTACAACTAGATGGTGCAAAGTGTGTGTTTTTATTACTTTTCTCTTTTAGCAGTAACAGCAAAAAAATACAATATAGCAGGCATTACAACCATAAAAGGTGACTCAGCTTCTCTGGCCACATCCTTTCCCTTTAGCCCAGGGGTGTCCAACCTTTCACCTTCCCTGGGCCACATTAGAAGTTGAAAATTTGGTTTGGGCCGCATGGGGGGGGGCAGCCTTAGCCATCCTCCGCAGCCCCGCTCCAAGCACGCTTACCGGCAGCTGCGACTGCAGATAGCAGAGGCTGCCAGCTTCGACTCTGTTGGCTGTATAGGGCCGGGAGGGGGTCCACCTATTGACGGGGATGGTGCAATGTAGTAACGCAGCCCCCTCACCCCTCTCCTCCCTTCCTTCCCTCTCTCCCCCCCCCCCACCGTTGTGACATGCTGCATTCCTGCTGCAAGCGCCGTCAGTGTAACTTGAAACTTTGGAATTTCTTTAAAAATAAAAAATTGCACCGGGCCGCATTACGAGTCACCCTGGGCCGCATGCAGCCCACGGGCCGCAGGTTGGACAAGCCTGGTTTAGCCCCTCCGTGCTGGGAGGAGAGTCCTTGCCCTGCCAGCCAAGCTGAGGAACAGACCCACTGAGATCAGCAACTACGTATTCCTCTCTAGGCCTTATTGATAAAGGCACTGATCACTTGGAACCAGATGGGATCCATCACAGTTTGTATAGAAGGGAAATGCCTGGCCTTCTAACAAAATCTGTGACTTTATTTTATTTTATTTTACTTTATTGCATTGCATTGCAGTGCATTTAAAATAGATCTACCCTGCCTTTCTCCTTGAAAAGGACTCAAAAGCACAGCACTGGAAGACAATATTTGAAGTTGAAAACCATGAGGACAGCACTGGAAGACAATATTTGAAGTTGTAAACAATGAGTATATAATGGTGGTTGACATCATTAAAAGACACCATTTAAAGCTAAGGATGATGAGTAAAGAGGCATCTTACATAGTTAAAATGCAATATTAAAGTTAGGAACAATATTTATTTTATTTATTTGATATGATTTGTATGCCGCCCATTTAGACCAAAAGTCTATCTTCTCTGGGCAGCAATTGTTTTTTTAAAAAGGCCACTCTGAGAATTGCAAAATACAAAAATGGAAAACACAAGTAGTAAACACCTAGTCAAAGCAGTAATGCAAAACGCGGGTCACTGATTACTGAGGGAAGGCTTGCCTGAAGAGAAAGGTCTTTGCCTGCTTGCAGAAGGACATGAAAGATGGGGCCACCCTGGCCTCCAGTGGGAGGGAGTTCCACAGTCTGGGAGCAGCCATAGAGAAGGCCCTCTCCTGTGTGTCCCTCACCAAGCACATCTGTGGAGGTGGAGGGATGGAGAGAAAGACCTCGCCTGGTGATCTTATCACCAGAGCCAGCTCATAATGGGAGATATGGTCTTTGGGACCGCTTAGACACAGGCCATTGACGGCTTTTTAGATTAAAAACAGCACATTGAATTATGCCTGGAAGCTGATCAGCAGCCTATAATCCTATGACTAACCTGTAGCAAAGGGCCTAAAAGTTATTTTTAAAATTGCTTGGGATGGAGGTGGTAGAATTTACTGTCTAGGTAGCTTAACATCCATCCACTCATGGTAAATCAGCAGAATATATTAATAAAGGGTATATCTGTTATGTCTGTACAGACAGACAAGTCCTGCTGAAAGAGACACCGCCTTGCTTTTGCCCCAAGATATAACCTGCTCCGTCCATCTGGTAAAGTTCTTTGAGAACGTCAACAAGCACACAGAGGAGAACAATCCAGACCTCAGACTTTCAAGAAAAGCTTTCCACCCTGCTTTTCATCTACGTTTCCTGAGCAAGCCCAATGGCGATGGGAGAGGATTCTGGTTTGTCTTTTGGGCCAATACAGGCTAAAGGCCAGGAAGGAGAGACTGGGAAGACATCATCCTTCTTCTTGTCAAAGAGAAATAAGAAGTGGGATCGATTGTCAGCCATTTGCTTCAAAAATTGCTTATCGACTTCCTGGAAACGGGAGTGTTTGCAAGAGGCCAACGCATCGTTGTGGGGCAATGACGACAGGAAGAAGCAACAAAGAGCACAAAATCCTCTCGCCACACTGAGCGTTACTCACAGCAAAAATGACTCAGTGTCCCCTCTGAAGTGGGTGGAGGCTGCAACCAGATTATTTTTTAAAAAAAGTTTTATTTAAAAGTGTGCCTCTCTGTGTTTTTGGATTACAAACCCTATTGGCCATGTCTGTCCAGGGAATTCTGGGAGCTGTAGTCCAAAAACAAATCCACATGCCTCTAACTTGAATGACAGAAGTCAGAGATGGAGGGGGGGAGGGGAAGGGAAGGACCAGGAAGGCCTACAGAAGGAGGAGGAGGAGGAACAGCAGCAGGAAGGAGAACCTGGTCCTTGCCTCCAACTCACCACAGTTCTTGCAGCCAGTTATACACACAGCACACTTGTCTTTCCCTGTCAGATTTTCTTGGGTTCTAAGCTACATGGAGAGTCTCCATGGACACAGGTGTTCTCTCCTGCATCCAGGAGAAACTGGTTAGTCCTCCTGTTCACAGAGGCACCAGCTAGGGCTCTGGAGTTCTGTGTCCGGTTGTGGACACCTCAGTTGAAGAAGGATGCAGACAAACTGGAGGAAGTTCCAAAGAGGGCAACCAGGAGGATCAGGGGAACGGAAGCCAAGCCTCAGGAGGAAAGACTGGAGGCATTCAAGAGGAAACTGGACTACCCTCTGTCAGATCTGCTTAGATTTAGATTCCTGCTGTGAGCAGGGGGTTGGACTAGATGGCCTTCGAGGCCCCTTCCGACTCCATCATTCTGTGGTTCTATGACACAGCTGAAGAGATTCCATCCTCAATGTACCTTTGAGATAGAACTATATAAGTTAGAATTAGCCATTACACAAATACCTAGGCAATTTTCTTATGCATAGCCAAGCGCAGCATATAGTGTCTCCCACGGAACTATGGGGGAAAGTGGCCACTGCTTAGAAGCACAGAGTTCACGCATCCTTCCACCCTGCTAGCAATCAGTATTGTAAAACCAGGTATCATAAAACAATGAAACAATAAAAAGTTTCCTTCCTGATCTCCTGGAGGAAATAATATGTCACTTAAAGAAGACATCCAGATGCCCAAAGGGGTGTTTTATTTTGAACATATTCTGGGAAAGAGAATTTCAAAGAAATCCCTATCCAAATTAACTTTTATAGCTGTTTGCATGGATTTTCTATTCCGCTTCCTTCAGACTCTCCTTGCATGCATTGCTCTTTGGCTACATGACTATTGACTTTCTCTGCTGGCCAGCATAAATAAACAATTTTAGGAAGCCTCCTGTCACATTGGTAAGAAGAAGAATCTCCACGCAGCTGCTCTCCAGAATCTAAGTCAATGCAAATGATGATGGAGGGAGGGAGGGTCACGCTCTGGGGACCATCTCTGCCCCAACGCCTCAGATGCAGAACCTAGAGTTGTGTTCAGTGAAGCTAGAACAGAGTCCTCCACTGTGATGATGTCAGGGTTTAGAAAAGTTACTTCTGGGAACAACATTTCCCAGAATCCCTGAGCCATCGAGGCCACACGATGCTTACCTGCACCACAGTTTATGAAGGATCTTGACAAGCCGGAAGGTGTCCAGAGGAAGGGTGACCAGGACAGTATGGAAACCAAGCCCTACAGGCAACAGCTGAGGGTGCCGGAGACGTTCAGCCTAGAAAAGAGGAGGTTTAGAGGTGATATCATGGCCGTCTTAAGAAGATGGCGCCAGCCGGCTTTCTTTAGCTCTGGAAGGTAGGAATTAAAATTCCACAGAAAAAGGTTTTGCGTATGGATGAGGGAGAACTTCCAGGCAGAGAGAACAACCTGACAACTGGAAGGGACTATTCTAGAGCAGGGGGGGGGGGGCATTCCACAGGAAAAGGTTTTGCATATGGATGAGGGAGAACTTCCAGACAGAGAGAGCAACCCGACAACTGGAAGGGACTACTCTAGAGCAGGGGAGGGGGCGCCTCTCCTTGGCTGCACAGAGGCTGAGCGGCTGCCTGGCAGGGAAGCTGTAGCTGGCCGCCCTCAAGGTAGTCTTCCGTGGAAGAACAAGCCATTCATCAGAAGGAAGAAAAGGTTTTGCATATGGATGAGGGAGAACTTCCAGACAGAGAGAGCAACCCGACAACTGGAAGGGACTACTCTAGAGCAGGGGAGGGGGCGCCTCTCCTTGGCTGCACAGAGGCTGAGCGGCTGCCTGGCAGGGAAGCTGTAGCTGGCCGCCCTCAAGGTAGTCTTCCGTGGAAGAACAAGCCATTCATCAGAAGGAAAGAAACAAAGGGGTAACAGGGGCAGAAGAACCCCCCCCATCCTCTGCTTTTCACAGAGGAAGGAGAGAGAGCCAGAGGCCCTCCTTGAGGATCAGCAGATACGGTCCTCTGTGCGCACAGCATACCCTAACCCTAATCCAATCCTAAGTGTGTGTGTGTGCGTGCGCGCGCCCGCGTGCGCGTGCGTGCATCACAAACCCACCCAGGTGGAAGGCTGAGCATGCTAATTCCACCCCCACCCCCTGTATCTGGAGGCCACTCCCCTGGCAGAAGAAACATGTTAGTCTTTATGGTGCTTTTAAGGGTGCTTTAAAAACTGGACTTTAAAAAATTATGTTATACCTGATTCTGCCCTCACAACAACCCCCTTCGCTGTTCCTGCTGAGCTCAGCAGCCAGGCTCCTGGTTGCTGGGTGGTGGTTGGGTAAGGTCTTGCTCAGCATGAACAGGGCAGGGAGCGACACCCCACACAGTAAGGCAACGTCTTGAGGGGTGGCCTGGATTGGAATAAGCAGGGCCCCCCAGCCCTCCACTTGACCAAAGGCTTGCTCCTTCTGAAAGCCCACTTGAAACCGGGAGGCGGGGGTTTCTTCTCTACAGGAGACTTGAGTCAGCCCATAGACGGCCCTATGATCTGCCATAGACGACGGAAGAGATAAGCCCGGTCAGCATCGCAAGTGGCAGGACGTGCAGGTTTCATGTTTAATGTTCCTGGATATATTTTATTTGAACTCTTCCTTCCTGTAAGGGCGGGAGTTACCAACCTCCGTGTGTGCAAGACATCTGTGCGCAGACGGATACAACGAGCAACCCCGCAAGGCAGACCCACCTCAAAAAGGGATCGGCTTAAAGTCGCCCAGGGATAGGGAATGCCCATCGTTTATCCTTCTGCCCAGCAGGCCAGAGTGGCCCCGGGCGCCCCCCCCCCCAGGTTCCGAGGAGTCTCCCGAGCCAGGGACGCACACCTCAACCACTTCACCAGGCTGCATGGCAGGTGTGCGCGTGTATGTGCGTCGGGGGTGGCTGGGTGCGGCCGCTTCGGGTCCAGCAGCCTCTTCCTCCTTCAAAAGCCCGCTGAGGTCCGCTCTCCGCTCCCTTGCTCGCTCCCCGGCCGGCCAGGTCCCGAGGGAGCCGGCAGGAGGCGGCAGCGGC